GCCCCCGCCCTGGGGGACGGGCCGGCCGCCAGGGCCCAGGCCGGCCCGGCCGAGCCGCTCTACACCGGCACCCCCTGGAAGAAGAGGAACTACAGCCAGGGAGTCGTGGGGTGAGCGGGCCCGGGGCCGGGCACCTTCCCGCGGGCAGGAGCACGCGGCCGCTGCCGCTGCCGCACATGGGCGGGTAGAGGGGGCCGCTCCTGTCTGGGCCTGGAGACGTGGGAGCACGTTGGGTGCCCCCTCCCTTCCCCCTCCGCGCTGCCGGGCGGAGGTTGCAGAGGCATGGGCCAGAGCTCTCTAGCATCTTCTCCCGCTGTCACTGCCCAGGCTGGCACCGGGGGAAGGAAGCGGTTCCCGGCATGGGCATGGATGGGCGCTTTGCTTGCACCCAGCCTGATGGGGAGATACCTGCCAGGCCGGCGGGATGTGGAGGGGCGGGCCGCACAGCGGGCATTTTGCACGCCAGTATCCAGGGGCCTCCCTCGTCGTTCTCTCATAGGGACGTGGGAAAGGAAGGGATGGGCACGTGAAATAAAGGGGCCTAGTGAATGGCCAGCACCGTATCTCACTGCACAGACGCAGCAGCAGGGAAGTCCAGTGGTTGGGAAGAGCATTTTTATGGTCAGGAGCAAGCAGTGTATCCTGCATGCGCCCAGGATGTCTGTACCAAGGCTGATGTTGCAGACACGCCTATATGCAGGAGAGGGGATCTCCCCGCAGACTCCTCCTGCTAGCACTGCATGTGCACGTGGTGCATGTTACACATGCAATGTAATTAGTGAAGCGTTTGTAAAGCCCTTTAAAAATAGGCTTGGTTTTGTAGAGACACTTCTTAATGTCAGTGTGCAGGCACATAGCTGTGAGGGTCGGGGAATGAGGCATTTTACTTGGACATTGTCTGTCCCTGTGCATGTCTCATGATGTGTATGGGGGAGGGGAAATTGCCACTGGTATACATGTATGTGCTCATACTAAGGAGCCTGAGAATGTTTTTCAGCATTTACACAGTCCATGTGGGTACAGGACTCTACAGTATACAAGCTATACTTCCTATCACCTAGAGTTGTGTGGGTGTGCGCACACATGCACATGGTTGTCATTTTTGACCAGACTGCATCTGGTGTCATTGTTTCAAATGCCTGCATGCTTAGCACAGACCTTTCCTGCTGATACAAGGTGAGTACTCCGATGGGGACTTACCATGCTGAGATCTGATGATACCACTACAAGGGTACTGTTTCTGCAAGTGGCATCTGCTGACATTTTCCCCTTTCAGACAGGCAGACACCTTAAGTCTGATGAGCTTCCACTATAGGACTGCTAATAGGCTGCACAGACCTATTCTGTGTTTATGTATGTGTGCATCTGGATGCATCTTTTAGATTACCTTCTGGCACAGACCTCACTAGTTGGTACTGTGTGAACACATGGTGGATGGAGGCAGGTTTACTCTCCTCACCTGCTGTCTTTTATCCACCTTGGGAAGAATCACTTAGATCAGGGCTGGGCAAAATGCGGCCTGGGGGCCAGATGCAGCCTGCCAGGACATTCTATCCAGCCCACGGG